GTTGCTCACTCCCCTTTCATCTTGGGACAGAAAGAGGGCTGACCCCTCTTCACTAAGCTCAGATGAAAGGTAACGATTCGTTTGACAATGTGAAAAAAAAACGATCTTGTATACCTATTTGCAGGCTTCCCGCTGTATACAGAGACAGGAGATTGCGAAAGACGATGAAAAATATACATATTAAAACTATTTGCACACAATATAATTATGAAAATAGATGTGCATGATTAAGCTGTTTTACAGGAGAATTGTGCTAAAAGAATGATTTCAACTTTTATATCATTTTTTAATATTAACATCGTACTGTTGTAGCTGTCGTCAGTTACGGAGTATAGACTAAGAAGAGGAATCTCCTCTTTCGGATGATTATTCAAAACATAGTAGTTAACTTCATTTAAAAATTACTTAGAATTGTGTGTAAGCTAGCACTCGCCACTTAGCTGGTTGTTCATCAAAAACCCTGCGCAGCCAGTAAGAAGCAGATTGATTTGCGAGGGTATTAGCAATATTAATTCAACCTCTCTCAATAATGTAGCAAAGCTTCAGAGTGATTCGATTTGATTTGAAAGAGATCCACTCTTTTGGCCGGACCACGTCTGATCGCAACATCAGGGGCATATGCAAAATCCTCATATCGTTCGCTTTCAGAAAATATATAACTTGTCAGGGAATATATTTTATTTAACTTTGCGAGGGTGGGTGAATATTTTTGTACTGCGATGTTCAGGTACCGTAAGAACATCAAAGGATGCCGACAGGGAACCTGAGTATCGCAGTACAAATATGTTCACCCACCCTCGCAAATATAAATGAAACATTTTCCCTGACAAGTCATAGATTTTCTGAAAGCGGACGATAAGAGGATTTTGTATATGCCTCTGATGTTGCGATTCGTTTCCAAAGAAAAAAGTTGCAAGCGTTTTTTCTCTAGGAGACGTGGTCCATTTGAAAGCCTGGATCTCTTTCAAATTAAATCGAATCACTCTGAAGCTTTGCCATGTTATTGAGAGAGGTTGACTTAGAAATGCTTATACCCTCGCAAATCAGTCTGCTTTTTACTGGATGCGTATAGGAGAGATTTCTGATGAATAACGCAGCTAAGTGGCGGGCTAGCTTACACACAATTCTAGGTATTTTTTGACAAATTGAAGTGAACCACTATGTTTTAAAAGAAAGTGAAGGTCCTCCTCTTTCTATCTATACTCTCGCACCTGACGACAGCTACAATAGCAGGATTCCAATTCGAGAAAAATAATTAAGTCATAATAATTCTTTTGGCAAAACTCTCCTGTAGAAATAGCTCAATTGTGAACAGTTTATTCTCATAATTATATTGTTACGATGCAATTAGTATTTAATCTGTATATTTATCATCATCATTCGCGATCTTCTGTCCCTGTAATCGGCAAAGGACCTGCAAATGGGCGTAAAGATCGTTTTTTAAAATCCTCCTGAACAAATCTCTTATTATTTAATTGGTTAATTTGACAAACATTGCATAGAAACTTTAATGGTACTAGAAAATT